ATATTTTCCAAACTTTTTTGTAACTATTATCTCATTTAATATTCCAAAACTACAAGATAGATGAGGCAGCTATTATTTCAATTTTGAAAAAAAGGAAACTCAGTCCCAGAGAGGTTAAATTAATTACTTAAGTCCACCCAGGTCATCAGTGAGAGTGCTGGAACCAGACGCAATGCATGACAACAGTTAATGATCTTAATATTGCACATACTGTTCTATCCACACCAACAATTAAATCTCTACAGATCAACTGTAAAATAATATCTGCACATGATACCAGGAACTGAAGGAGCAACACAGAGAAGAGCCCCTAAGGAATAGAACTTTGACAGCAAGCCAAATTGCTACGACTGGAAGAGGCTAGCTCTAAAGGCAAGGTGTACTCTTTTATGAATAGTATTATGAGTTATAGGCAACTGAGACCAGTTATATTCCAAATATCTACTTGTAAATCACTTGGAAGGCAGAAAACATTTTCTCTGCTGGAAACAATGGCATTAATGTCAGGTCCTTTAGAGATAAGCCCACAAAAACTTTCACTCATAACACAGATGAACTATAGCCCTAATATTACTAACCCAAGTTTGGGGTTTTATGGGGAAAACATTATACAGGGTAGAAGAGAAAAGACAAAAAAGGCATGCTCTCAGCTAAGTTTTGAAATGGACAAAATTTGTCTTTGATATCTTTCTATATTTATTTTCTTATCCTTTCCCAATCTTTAGTACTCCCTCTTTCCAGGTCTCCAGGCAGCTAATGTCCCAATTTGCCCTCAACAGTTCTACAGCGATTCTGTCCAAACCTTTCCTACCTCTAAAGTTTTCCATGTTGCAAAGTAAAATATCTTCTTTCATCATAATTTGAAAAAATAACGACACTATAAAAACTACAGTTCTCTCAGAACTGCTGATCAAGACTTAGGAGAAAAGAGTCTGATTCAACTAAGCCATGCTAGAATGTGAATGATTAAGTCACTTACACAACCAGTATCACTGGCATTTTTAAATGAAGATGCTCAAAGTTCAAGGAATGGATGAACAGTACAAAACGCTGAAGAGCAAATAAAATAATGCAATGTAAGGGAGGATATTCTGGGTCACCTGCATGGCTACATAGGCAAGTCAGTTTTACCTGGAATCTCTTCCCAGGCTTAAAATAACAAATTATTTCTCCATTTAAATATTCATTCCTCTTCAGCTTATAAACCTGCTGAGTTTCCTAAATGGCTCCTGTGGCAGGAAAGTCTAGAGGTAATACCAGTTATACTTTTGGGTCATTTCTAAGTCTGGTGATTTTATAGTGAGTACCACCTATATTTAGATGGGTACTGTTATATTTGTAATTATCTCATAATCGCCTAACAAAATTTATTTGATTGCCTTCTTGGTGCACAGAAGACTTAAAAAGTAGAAAATGCCTCTTTAACTAATATACCAAAAAGGTATTATCTGTTCCCTAAACTTTTCCTTCTCTCAATTTATCCTAACTCATTATTCCCTCCATCTCTCATAAAGGTACCTGGAATTCAGTTAGTTATATTATTGTTTCTTTGTAGAGATCAGGAAATTTTTAAAAATGTTATGTAAAAGGATAACCCAGGGGCACCCACAAATATATCTATCTCTTAAAAAACCAAATCATGTTTTAGCTTACTTAGCCACACTGACTCTACAGGTTAGGTATAATGTTTTTTAGGTGTTTTGTTTTAGAGATGGGGTCTCACTATGTTGCCCAGATTGGACTTGAACACCTGGGCTCAAGCAATCCTCCTACCTCAGGCTC